TATAGGTACAATTAGATGCTTTTTTTTTTTTTTTTTTTTTTTTTTTTTTGTAATTATCTGGTTGGCAAGGAATTGTAGAAAAAACAACTGGACAGTAAATGAATTTCTTTCTCCAGATGTTTTAAGTGATTATGTAGTGTGGAATGATTTTTGTTAAAGCCAATGTTTTCCATAGAAATGTAATGTGATTGACTCAGAAAAAAAAGTTGTTATTTTTCTGACGAATTGCCAAGGCTTCTGCTTTGTAAAGTGGAGCCAGAAAGTAGAATCTTGGGAGAAACTGGAATGAAGGCCTGTTTCCCTCATAGCAAATGAGGGAGACAATATCTCTTAAAATGTGTATGGTGGGAATCAGCATATATTGGCTTTGCTATTAGTTTTGATATAGGTCATCTCTGACCTTGTATAAGCACAAAATACTTCACCTGTCTTTTCTGCATCATCAGAAAAACAAAACATTGTAATAGGTTTGTCATCTTGGGGTATGTGTTATTGTGGCTTTTCATGGAAATAGGGCTGAAGGTATGACCCTCACTCTGTGTGCACATCCCACCTTTTGAAACCCATAGCATATTTCATCTAAGTTTTACAAAGAGATCTCACATCTGTTATTTCCATCTGTTATTTCATGTCTGATAAGGGATACGCCAGAGCTGCCCTGCATACGACCTGGATTGTTGACTGATGCATTCTAAGCACTTTACTGTTCTTTGAAATTTCATTTGGTGCGTAAAATCTGTGCTACATCCTGAATTGTACGTCTTATGTGTAGAGCTGTTATGTGCAACCTCTGATGTTGCATGATTATCTTTGAGGGAAGAGCAGAACAGTGACCTTGCATCTTGTCAGAGTATCCACTCAAGAATCAGCTTCACTTGGAGGCTGTTCTTACTTGCAATCTGAAGTCAATCAATTGTTATTCACTTATCTGTAGGGAGTCAGTCTGTATTTGCTCTAGTTCTCTTTGAACAATCTTCAAATTGTTAATGCTTTTCCTATATCCTAAAGCCTTAAAATTACATGTTTTATAGTTAGTTGCGGACTTGGAGAAAAAATCTTCCCCGTAGTGTCTTTTTCTAGAGACATCCATTTGAGGATTCCAGAATTTAGTGTGAAAATGTCATTGTAGCAGAGATCCATGTGAGTATGTCTGTGAACTGGAGCAACAGATAAATGAAGGTAAAGCACCTGGTAGTTAGATGAGCTAATTGTCACTTCCTGTACTGGATCCCACAGAGATCCTGGGGAACACCCTGAATACATTTCTCTGAAATGGGTTACACTTGCTGTAGTACTGAGACAGCTGGTGCCCCATAGGTATCCAACAATACCTTTAGGTAACAGTGAGAACCCACAGAGATTGTTGCTGTGACTCTAGTCATGGACAACTGGTGGATCACAGGCTGATATGCTGAGTTGTTGTAGTCCTTAGGCAACCGCAGCGAACTGAAGTGAGCCAGCAGTCTAGACATTATTTAAATCGAAATTTCTCGTTTACATTCAACCTCTATTTTCAAGTGGTACTGAATACTTCTTATGACAATGACTGAATATCTATAACTAGAGAAAATTAGCTCATATGTGATAGGTAATGCAATTTTAATATTTATGCGATGGCATTTTGAAATGTAAATATGGTTTATTTGGTGCTAGCTGTAGTTTCATTGGTGTTGTTTCAAATCAGATTATCCTCTTCAGCTGAAGTACTTCTCAGAGACATTTCAGTCCCTGAACTTACATGAAATATACCAGCAAATTCTTGCTGATTTAGCCTGTGAACTCTATGCGTGGTATCTTCCCAGAGCATAGGTTAGCTTAAAAGATGCTTGATATTTTTTAATGCATAATAATTGGTCATATCTCCACTTATAAGTTCTAAGAAAGATATTCATGACACTCAATTCTGCCTCGGATACCCAAGCACAGAAAAATCTGGCAAAAGAAACTTTCTCAGAGGGTGACCAAGAGGAGACCAACACTGTTATTACCTGGAGGAGACTCTCCTACTGTTGGACTCACACAATTTTTTCTGGACAGTTATACAGCATAGAAACTATTCTTTCTATCCCTCTTGAAAGCACTGAACTGATGTCATTACTACCTTAATGTAGACCTGTCGCTAGGACCTTGAACTTCCTTTGAAGAGGTTCCCAACCCCTTCACTGGATTTTATAGAATGCAGAAGACTGGGCGAGTACGGTGCCCTGATGTATTTGCCATTTGACATCTTTGTTTAAATCACTGTTTAGGTCACAAGTGACGCTGAATTTAACAGGCTTATTTTAATTTGCAGATTTTCAAGTCCAGACGGAATAATTATGGTCTGACCTCTTGTGTACCAAGGGGCACTGCACTCCACACACATTTCTGCATTGCAGTCAGTTCTTTTTGAGACTTAAAGGCTGTAAGTGATAAGGAATCTGCTCAGGACCTCGGTAATCTGTTTTGTTGGTTAATTATCCTCATGGTCAAAACACCAGTGGCATACTTGTCCTTAATTTGTCTAATTCATGGATCTCGTTAGGCATTTTTGCTGATGGTAACCTAATAGATGGAAAGGATTTCATATTTGAGATTCCTTTTTGAGGTCCATCAGTCAATACCCTGTTATGAATTATATTGCTTACACTGCTTTTGATGTAGAGCTGTTTTGAATTCAGATGAGTACTAAATAAATACTTTTAGAACTAAATGTATATTTTCACCCTTCTCAATTACAGTGTTTTAATAAAATGGTATCAGGTATGTTTAATTTGATGCTTTCTGGATAAACGTGCTAGATAAAATCTCTCTCTGCCATTCTTTAACTCTTCATGGGCTGAATTTCTCATCATCCCTTTCACTGATTTGCATTAAATCCTTATCAGACAACCTGGCTTATGTTTCCTTAGGCTACCTTCTCTGCCAATTTATATGTAGTCCATTGTTCATGTTTCTCTGTTTGGAGGCTTTCCAGTATTACAGGGCTTATTTAAATTCTAAACTGGTGATTCAGATGTTTTAATCCAGTTTCTGGGCCAATAATTAAGTCTGTATTTATAGTTTTCCACTTGTGCCATCTCCTCTTATTTGTTAATCCATCAGAATATTACTTTTGTACGCATTTAGAAGACTAATATATCATTCTGCTCTTTCAGAATATCAAATGGATTTATGTTTAATATTGTTTACATTCCATCATGATGATCATTTCTGCAATGTAATTATCAGTATAAAAATCCATAGTGGGAAATCTCCAGCATTGAAGGGGTTCCTTCTTATGTCTTAAACTCTTTGGGCCATGTGCTATATGTTCTTTTAGCATTCTTCACCAGTAATTTGTACTTCCCAACCATTTCTTTGGAGTTGCAGAGATCAGCTTCTTCTTTTTTCCCAGTCATGTAATACTTGCTTTATTACTACTTTTTTTTCCTGAACAGCCTATTCTTTTTTCTTTTTTTTTTTTCTTTTAAACCTCTCATAAACCTCTCATAACTGTATGTAAATGCAGAACTGAGCTAAATTTTTAAACAGTTTCCCACTATTGTTCACATAAAATTTCCACCTACTTTTACTCTATAATTCTTTTTATTCAGGGGAAATTCTCCACTTTAAAAATTCAGTTACATATTTAAATTACAAACCAAACATATTTGCATGTAAAGAGAAATTTGTCTGCTTAAGGAATTTCCAGTAGCAGGTTAGCCCACATCTGAGTCTTTTTGCAGTTACTAAGGTAGACCTTGATTTTACTTCCATGAGTGGGGTGATGAAGGGGTGGTCCCTGCTGGAGGGGTGTTGGAGGCTGCTTTTTATTTCAATTGGGTGGAAGTCTGTTGATGTAGTGGAAGTTTTTCACCTCTCAGCCCAGAGTGCACAGGGATGCTGAAGGTAGCCAGCAGTGTTGCTTTCCTGTTGATCAGACAAGCAGATAACTTCTTACAATGTGGAGGATTTTGATTACAAAACTCTCTGGCTGTTTTGCAGAAAGACAAGTAATAGCTTAGTTGTAATCTGGATCTTTATGGGAAAGGTATCATCCAATTTTGGATGAGTCTACATTTACTGTCAGAACTGGAAAGTCGTTGCTGCTTTTATTCCTTGCTTTTTGTAACCCTGAAGTATTAATGCATCTCTTCCCCCACCACTTACAAATTGCATATTTACTATGAGTGTGAGAGCACACTGGTGACTAAGATCTGGCTAACCTGCAGGACTTTTCCAGTAATTAGATCCCCCTCCATGGGAGATTTAATTAAAAATGAGGTGTGGGTTTATTGTTTTAATTGTTATTCCTGATTGAAATCCTGCACCATAGTCTTTAATGTGTATGTGACAGCATTGTAATGTGAAAACTCACTTGGCCTAATTGCATTCTTCTTCAAATGTTATGAGCCCAAAAAATCATTTGGAGTGTTAGTCTAGGCTACTTGAAGTTCTCCTCAGATGAGGATTTCAAAATGCGGGAAAAAACATTGCAGACTACTTATTTGACCTAACAAGCTAATTTGGAACATACTTTTACATGTTGCACAAGGCCAGGTGGCATATCCCTTATGTGTTGCTTACACACAGAAGTAAGAAGTTGTAACTCCTACTTTAGGTACCTGCTCCATTGAGAAACATTTTACTGAACACAACACTTGAGGTGTTACATAAAGTCTGATATAGCATTACTATGTTCTTCTAGTGGCTTTTGCAACAGGAGGTTTTATCTTCTTTAAGGGTAGGGTATATCATAAAATTGCTTTGTCTGGAAGAAAGACATTTTCAAGATTTTAGCTGTTAACAACAGCTTCTATCTGGTTGCAGTCCCATCAGATTGTTGTTCTGGGAGGTAAATTTCATAGTTGATGATGTATTGATGACGACGATGACATACTTTGTTCTGAGGGATTTCATGCAAATTTCTTCTTCTCCAGTCTCTGTCTACTAAGTAGAAGCACCTTGAGCTAGTAGAAGTTGACATATTTTTTGCTCATGTGATGACCTCTCTATGTATTGTTTTTTGCTCTTTTTAGATAATTGTGATGATGCGTTGGTATCTGCTTTACCTTCATCAGCCTTTACCAGTTCCTCTGAGTTCTTCAGTACTCACAGTCCCAGCTTTGCAAAGCTCAACAGGCGAGATGGTAAGGTTTCCGTGGAAAATGCCTAAAATATTTTTAATCACAGTTATAAAGAATAACTTTTATGCTGTTTGTATGCAGTGCATTCAGAGCCAAGTTGAGTAGAGCTGTTAATTTATGCTTTTTTGAGAGCTTTATTTAGGAGCAATTCATTCCTGTTATTGTTGAAAACTTCTATTGAATTTGAAGCTCTCCTCTTGTAGAAACATCCTATAGGAAGTTCAGGTAGTTATTTTGCTTTTGAATAATATTCCCCATAATTTTTAGAGCTTGAAGGTCATTAGACTTGAGACCCCATTCTAAAATGTAGTTGTTTATTAAAGGTAGTAGCAACTAGATATACACGTACATGTTCTAGTGGAATTCAGTGATTACACAACTTAACAAAAATAATAAAAATAAATGAAAAAAAATTGCAGACGTTTGCAACAAGGATTGCCCTGATAATGTGTTGACACATGAAGTGAAACTATTAGGATCAAATTTTATATTGGGGGGGGGGGGAAAAAGCAATATTTAGGATATCATTAGGTATTTTGTTATAAATCTGGGTTGTGGCTCTCATCTTATTCCAAAGTTAGAGCCTCAAAAAGAGGAAAGCTGTGTCTTATGGCATTACATATGATTTTCATTCTTAGAAACACTAAAAAGTATACTACTAGTTAAGAGACTTTAATTGAAATTTAAATGAGAATTTTCCTACTTGAACATATTCTATGAATTGTCTGTCTAACATTACTGTTTGAGAAACCTAATAAGGCACTAATGATAAGGAGTTGTGATGTCGTTAGAGAAGTGTTAGATGGGAGTTACTATCTCAAACCACTGAACTAGAGTTCCTCAGCAAGTAAAAGGTGATGTGATAGCTTCTTGACATATAGAAAGTTGGAAACATTGAGCATGATATGAGTTTGCTTTGCCTTTGTCTTTAGCCACTAGCTGAGATACTGGGTAAACATACCTACATGATTTTGAAAATGGCTTAAATGACTAATTTTATCTACAGAAAAGAAGATTCAAAGACAATACTATTGCAAGCTCTGGGTGTACTGAATTTTAAAGTTATATTAATGATATCTAAAGTAAATTTACAGTGATAATAAGGGTAGAAAATGAAATAGGTCTTATTCAGGTGTGCTAAGGTTGCTCTACCATGTAGCGGGGCTGTAATTTATTCTAGTCCTTTAGGTATGCATTATCACATCAGTAAGGTCCTATCTGTTCTTTGGCACAAATCATGGGAAGGGGAAGACAGAGAATGTTGAAACTGAGCCCTAAGCAGGGAATTAGTTTCAGGTGTTCAAGCAACTTCTATTTCATGTTTTGAAGTTTTAGGTGATAACTGAGGAGCTAAACATAACAAAAGGATCTAAACGCTGAATTCTACATTGCTTAATTCTTTTGTTGCACAGACTCTCATAGAAACATACAGATAGATGTAGTACCAGCAGTATTCACATGGATACTTCATCTTGATTTGGAGAAGGAAGTGGTGGTAGATAGTGGCTGAAATAACTTTCTTTGGCTTGTACTTGAATACATACAACAGACATCTTTGGAGGAAATAATATCTGCTAACGAAGACTATGCCATGAATTTCTAATAGTGTTGGAATGTTTTGATGAGTTTGTTTAGTTTCATTTGTAATTGATAAAACATTGCAAGTAACAGTGCTTCAAGGCAAAAAGCCAGATATATTTGTTAATATAAATATGAAAGCAACAGGTGAAGATGAATTTATAAAATACAGTCCAGACCTACATCAATAGAAAGTTTTAATTCATCAAGTTGATTTAGTAGCAGGTAACTAATAGGCTATTTAAAGAAAGACTTGCAGGAGAGAAATGTGCCATTTAGCAAACAAACATCAGCAAAGACCTAAGCAAAGCTTTACATGAACAGCTGAAAGTGCTCAATTAAAGTGCTAATAAATCTGACCTGGTAACAGTAAAGCAGTTAGTATAATTCAGATGAATATGATTCTGGGGTGTGAAATATATTATCCATGAGAGGGATTAATCAACTTTTTGTTTACAGTAAATAAATAATGAAAAAGAATAAGAAAATTGCTACAATGTGACTGTATCAACAGGGCTTTTTCGACTCCCTATTAGTTCTCAGCCTGAATAGTCAGTATAGGTAATTATGTATGGGAATATAAAACATACATAATGTCAAAAGGAATTTGTCGTATGGCTGGGAACTGTTTGATCTGGGCATTAAAGTAAAGCTGTGCAGCAGGGATGCGCTTAGCATCAGCAGGAAGTCCAAGAGTTTGTAGCACAATGTAAAGCCAGTTAAGCTGTTTGTAAGGCACTGTAGGATGGAAATGAACGTTTCCTTTTGCTTCATATTAATAAGCTATAAATAAGTATGGGCATCTTGAGCAGTCCTGTGGAACATCAAGGAGCATTGATTGCATAGCACTGGGCTTAAGTGCAGTTTTTGGAACAATTATGGCAAAATGTACAAATGATTTGAAAAAAGTATTTGATCATATTTCTTGGAGTCATTTGGGTCTCCAACTGAGAAACCGTATGATCTTCTTTCTCGTATTTCTAGCATTATGATTTGTTGCCATGGAGAATATGAGCAATATATGTTCCTGTGGCACTGTTTCTCCACTAGGACATTCTCTTCTCACCATGTTGAAGCTCTCCCTTGCAACAACCCATAGGCAATGTGAAACATGGTACCTTTGAGGAACGATCATATAGCCTTTTTGCAATGAGCAGAAGGAATGGGAATCTGGCTGGCAGAATGGGGAAATGCTATTGCCCCTCAGACATGATGTTGTGAGGTGCAAAACTTATTGACTTTGATCACATTTTGTCTCTTGCTCCTTTGAGAGAGGGTATGTGGCATCTTCATACATCAGCACTTTCCAGGTTACCTAAAAAACAAAAGTCCTGATCCAGTGGCTGTAATCTGTGCCATGCTTTGTCTATTCTATGATTATACCGCACTATTAATGATGGAATTATGATACTCTTCAATTTCCTTATACCCAACTGCAGAAAATCAGTTATACTAGTATCTGTTTGGATGTTCAGTAGCATTGTCTTTGGCAGCCATTACTGTTGTTGCCTTAATGTTATACATTCTTGTTTTAGGCCTGCCCTGATGAATGTTCACCAGGGTGAACATCACCAGTAGGTAGAGGGGCCAAGAGCCATAAAATGTTTGCTACACTGTGGACATGCTTTTTTGTTACTTTCCAAAAAATCTATGGGGAAAGGGTGAGTTTTGGGGTGTTCCCTACTGCTCCTCTCCCAAGGGAATGTGCGTATTGCTGCTCTTCTGTAAAATCAGGGTTCATAGTCTGAAATGTCTCTTGCAAGTCTGGCTTCTGGACTGCTGGACCAACAAAACCTGCAGAGGTGATGCTAAGAACAGGTGTCATTGCTGCATTTTGCAGCGCTCGCATCTAAAGAATGACATTTCCTACAGACGGATATGCTCATCTGGAGTGAAATGCAGTTCAGAGATGCTGTTATAGTCTGTAATTTGAGAGCTTGAGCTCACTGCAGATCTCCCAAATTTCCATTCATTGTGTATCATTCTTTTGACTTGCTTCCAAAATATAAACCTGTTGTACCATGCTCAGACTAGAAAACAGCAATGTATAATAAAGCAAAATACTGCTGTGGAAAGCATATTACCTTACTGCCTCTCATAGCAGTAGGAGGGAGAAAGTACAAACAACATAGAGTAGACGGTGGATATGATGTTTAGCTTAGTACTGGAAATTACCTGTGGTAATGAGCTTCGTTTAAGAACTTATATAGAAACTAAAATAGAGAAAACAAAGATAAAATTTCTCTTTTTCTCTTTTTTTCTCTTTTTCTCTTTTTTTCTCTTTTTCTCTTTTTTCTCTTTTTCTCTCTTCTCTCTCTTCTCTCTCTTTTCTCCTCTTTTCTCCTCTTTTCTCCTCTTTTCTCCTCTTTTCTCCTCTTTTCTCCTCTTTTCTCCTCTTTTCTCCTCTTTTCTCCTCTTTCCTTTTTCTCTTTTTTCTTTTTTTTGTTCTTTTTTCTTTTTTTTCTTTTTTTTTCTTCTTTTTTTTTTTTTAATGGAAAACTCACCTAATGACTTATGAGCTATTTTCCACCATCTAGTTGTTGCTGTTTGTTGTAGTAAGACTGATTAAAGAGACAATGCAGGAAAGAGGAACATGCCTATATTTCTATTAAGAGTCACTGCAAATGTCTAGAATAAACTCTTGAGAGTGGTGAAAGTAACGGTTTTGTGCCACAAACCTGCCAGAACTTCTCCACTAAATATCAATGCTCTGATGGTTCCTGGAAGAAGCAACAGAGCAGCAACTTTTTTTCAGAGTCTATTTCAGATATGAGATGTTATAGTACAAAAGAAGGTTTCCTTCCCATGTACATTAGTCAGAATTCCTTACAGGTTGGATATGCAACTTCTTTTTGAACATCAATGTATAGTTTGAACCTTTAAAAAAGGGGGGGGGGGGGGGAGGTTTGAGGGAACCGTATTAAGACTTCTGGTGTGTGGGCTTCTTTAAGCTGTGTGTCTGTACAGAGTTAAGAGAGCAGTCAGATATGAGGTGAGCAATGAACTTCCTAATATTCTAGTTAGGTCTTTTTCATGGTATGCTCATTGTCAAGGATGCAGTATTTAAGGAAGGTAAAACAATCACGATGGCAATTAACACTTCTGTTATAGCTGAAAGAAGTAAAATAAAGCATGGTGCTAGCAAGCAGTTTGGTTGCAAACTATTTTCCCTGGAACATTTTGGTAGAGAAGTGAAGATTGAGTCATCCAGTTCATAGGGATTGGGGATGATACTCAGTTCCACCTGTGGAATCAACACACTTCTTTTGCAGGAATTGGGACTAAATCCTACTTTAATGAGCTGTAATAATGAAAATTGTAACATCTTTTCTTAGATAAAATAATTTCAGTTGTGAGGTGGCAAATCCAATGTGGTCCAGGAAAATCAAGAAAATTTTAAAAGGGCAAAGTTATTGAAACAGAGGTTTTTGATATCAACCATTAATATGCTATTCAAGGAGCAGCTTTGAAACAGATCAGTTAATAAGATTAAAATATTAAGGTAAACCCAGCTATTTCTAACTGAAGTTTATTGATGCTTTTTCTTTAGAAATGTATATTTGGAATCATTCTTCTAGTTTACGTGCAGAATTGTTAATGCTTTATTCTCAACTCGATATTTCCCCTTTCCCAATGGAATTCTGTTCAGTATAATTGGACAAAAAAAAAAACAAAAAAGCTTTTGTAAGCTTTGCTAATAATGGTAAAACAAACAAGATGATAGGTTTCAGAGGTAACAACAGCCTGAAAATTTACTGCTTTGGTTACTTTGGAATAAATGACTTCTCTGTTCTTCATAGCTGCATTGTTCACTTATTTGTAAGGCTGGAGTGAATGCTCAACATATACCGAGAATAAATGTGTGAAAGCAAAAACATGGTAAAAGAAAATAAATGCAGACTATAATGATATAAGAGTATGCTAGAGAACACGAGATAATGTATTGCAATCTGAAAGGGTTCCCCTTTTTAACCATAAGCACACATTTACTGTTGGGAGTGAAGTGCTGTAATTCAAGCAGTGGTTGCAGTTCCATGTTTCATTGGCTTGACATTATCATGTTCCTGTTTAACCAGTAGAAGAGTGTGAGGGACAGTAGATCTGCTCATGTACTTGTAAAGAATTAACATGAGTTACAAACTTACTGGCTTACATCTAATCATAAAATCTCCATTCCTGAATGGAGAAGTGGGTGATGGAATTTGATAACTTGGAACTCATTGTCCTTGTATTTTATCTTAAAAGAACAAACCACATCTTCACATATTCATTTAACAAGCATCTTTTGTGAAGAAGAGTTCGCTTTTCAGTGTGAAGTTAATTCATTTTAGTTGTTTAGTCTATAGGTCTGTAGCTTTACAATGTATTATTGAAGGGCATTTACAACCTTTAATTAAACCATATTTTTCGAACACTTAATACAGCAAAAATCAAGATAACTAACATTTTCTCTCATCTTTCAAAAATTAGCCAAAAAGAAAATGTCAAAGAAAATTAGAACTTAGAAATCAGTATTCCCAGATTTGCTGGAGCATGTGAGGAGGGAACAGGTACAATATTTCTGTCAGTGAAATGTGCCAGCATCCTCACTAACACTTGTCCAGTTGATGATGAATAGGTTTTCTAAAAACTCTTAAAGTCAGAATTCCTTATGAGCCTTAGGTCAATTAAGAAAATCGTAAGGAAGCACACTAGGTAACATATTTCCTAACACAAAAATTTAAACAAACAGCTTTACTGTTTAGGAATTAGACTCCTCTGTGGTAACCTGAATTGATAACATGTTTCTTTCTCATGTATAATTTCTTGTGTTGTCATCGTTATCTACATTATTTTTATCCTATCTCTTACAGGAGCTGGTGGCTGGTCCCCACTGTACTCCAATGAGCAGCAGTGGCTCCAGGTTGATTTAGGAGACAGAGTGGAGATTGTTGCAGTGGCTACCCAGGGCAGGTATGGGAGCTCCGACTGGGTAACCAGCTATACGCTGATGTTCAGTGACACTGGCCGCAACTGGAAACAGTACCGACAAGACGACACTGTCTGGGTAGGTTTGAACTGCGGATGCCTTTGGCTCCAGATCTTTCTGGCTCAGGCTTGGCATGGGATTTGGAGAAGCAGCTTCAGCTTTATGTTGGAGGAGTAGTGTAGTGGTGAGAGAAGGAGAGCTGAGTGTAACTGAGCTACAGGGTGTTTTGATCTGAACTGATTGCATTGCTGACTGCAACACATGTTTAGGCCCTCAGAACTATGTTGTTTCCTCAAACTATGAGGATATGAAGAGCACTTGAAATGACCTGCACAATTCTGTGCCTTTGATTCAGGCACACCAGGGTAAATGGGACTAATCTCATACATACTTTCTCTGGCAAGTATGGAAATTAACTCTATTTTATGCACACTTGCTGGTCAGAACAAGGGAGCACACGCTGGGGGAGGTGGGTGGTAAATTGCTCCTCAGCTGGAGAAGGCTAGGGCTGCAGTGTGACTAGTGGACTGATTTAGCAGACAAGCTCAAGGCTTTTCCTAAAATTTTAGTGTAGGCCTGATGCTTAATGAATGTGTTGCAGGTTCAGTGTGTGGCCATGCCAGGTGCACTTGGTAGGACTGTATGCAGTAACAATGCCACCTCAGGTGTGGAGAGAGAAGTTCTAAATATCATATTTAAAATGTGAATTGTTAGTACATTGTTAATGAATGGTAGCATCTTCTAGTTTTGAGGATCAAGAGCCTTGGTAGTGTGGCAGTATGTCATGGTAAATCAAGTATATTCTTCATGAACATAAAAGAGAACATTGTAAGGGTAGACTTCTGTTTTTGTCTTAAATTTTTCTTTGGTGAAGAACTTGCTTAAGTACTGTGTCACAAAAGGAGGCTTTATTTCCAGAATATAATTATGAGTTAGAAATGTTGTGGCTGCAGCAGGAAGAAAACAGAAGGGATGTGTGGTGGTTTTTTTTTTTTGGTTTTGTTTTGTTTTTTTTTGGTGCATGTTCTATGCACTGGGAACACATGTACAGGATGGTTAATTTCTGTGGTTTAAAAATCCATTGTGTTGCCACCATCTTTGTTTTATCGTAGTTTGATTTAGGGAAGGCAAGTGAAATCCTTCTTCCTTTAGAAAGGCAACTTTGGCCCAAAGATGGTCGTAAAGTTGTCAAGTGTGGCTCTGCTTCATCTGTCACTTTAAAGTTATATTATGCTAGCTTCACTCCAGATGCGTATACTTTTTAAAAAAATATATATATATATATTTTAAAATGGTGGAATTTCATTCAGAACTGAATATAGTTATCATTTAATCTGATGTTGGACTTCTACCCTTGGGACTCTGAATTCTAGAACATAGATATTTTTGTAGACTCAGTGTCATCAAATGCTTCCTTCTTTGATAATATTATGTGACATCTTAACATTTTTTATTAATCTTAAATTTAATTGTTGACTACATGTCCAACTTTTCAGTCTGTCTCCTTTTTCAAAACCCTTGACCTTTTATTTTATTTTGGAAATTTTTCCTCTTAAAAGGAAACTTGAAAAGACAACACATAAAACTTACCCTAGCAAATCTTCATGCCCTACAGATCCAATTTTGTGAGTTTCTGATCTGGCACCAAATATTGCACACAAGAATAAGAATAAGCCCAGCAGACATTTAACAGTGAATCAGGATTTATGAAGAACCTGAACTCTCTCGTTTTATTAAATGATCAGGTATGAAGGTGATTCAGGACAGACCCTGACACAAGTTCTAAAGTTCTGTTGTTGTTTTTTTTTTTTTTCTGGTGGGATAATTTTAATATATTTTTCTAATGGAAATCACTATAAGCTATAGAGGATATTTATTTTTGCACATAGTTAAAGAAAAATGAAATGGAGTTTGGATGAGAAAAAGTAACAGCGGGGGAAGGATTTGGATATTCTTCCCTGCATGTCAGTTTCTATAAGTCACACTGACCATGGTTGCCAAAAATATAATTCAAATCAAGAAGAAGAATTTTCTTGAAGTCCCCAGACAGAGGGCTTGAAGGGATTGTTGGGATGCATAGCCAGACTTTGTTGGAAGGATCTGATGATAAAAATCCAAAGTGGGCTGACTTGACATTTCATTAGTCTGTGCAGTCCACCTAAACTGGCAAGTCTCATTAACACCTAAGAACTTGTATGCCTGCCCATGGAATTAATGAAGATCAAGTTACTTTTGTACATTTTTATTCTATCTTAAGGGAAAGTTGGTTCTTTTCTCTTTTTTTCCTGGCACTTCTGGATTTGTTTCATTAAATGAAAATAGATCTTGAGAACCACTGAGGAAAGGCAAAGATGGTTTCAGAAGTATGTAAAGAGTTATGATTTCAACTTATGTAGCATTTCTGTTTTATTGGCAATAATCCTTTCCATAGGCTTTTTAGTGACAAGGAAGATAAAATACACTGTCCAGCCTTACTTGAAGATTTTTCTATAAAAGACCCCATGGATGAAATGAGGACAAGCACCATTGTGTACTTGTCCTAAACATCTGGGCTGTTAAATAGCTATAAGGGAAGTTCTGTATTGCTCACACCCCAGACAGAAGCATAGCCCTTGACTTAAGGGAAGTCGGTAGAGAGGATCGTTTTACAAGTATAGGAAAGTGGCGCCCTCAGGTAGTCTCCAGCAGTGTCACAAGATAAGCCGTTTCAGCAATAGCAATCTATATCCCATTGCTTGTGGAGGCCGGGGTGATCGGTCACAGCAGGATTCAAGGTGGGAGTCTCCTATGTCAGGGCTGATCAAGGTTACCTGTCATTCACAGGGAGAGGGTGGGGGTTAAAATCTAGGTTATTTTGAAAATAAGGCCCTTCAGAAATCTCTGGCTGTTGGGTGGGAAAGGCATTCCCTCCCTGCTGGCCTCTGCCAGCTTTAACTCTGGAGCTTTTTTTTTCATGTCCATAGGACAACAATTTGTCTGTGTCTCTCAGGGCTTCAAGCTTTTTAACATTTCCTTTCGAAACCTTTATTTGTAGCGAAAAGGGCTAGAAATCTACCTGGGTGTGTTGTTTTTTGTTTTGTTTCAGAAAGCTGTGCTGTTCCAAGCTTAAGAGGTGGTAAACACTGTGACTCATGGCTCAGAAGGGGCTGTGAAACCTAAATCATTATTGCCTGGAGCTCCTCAGATGGAGTCTGCTATATCAATATAAAGTATTGATATACATTGGACCTGTTAAGGTCCCTGATAGAGCTTCCACTTTTTATAGCTGGAAGTTTGTGTTTTGATGTGTGACTGTTACTGGCTGTCTCACCAGCTGCTCATTGGTGACAACTAATCTGTCATTTATGGCTGTTGGAAGGGAGGATTATGTGGAAGGGACCTAGGTAGCCTGGTAAACTGGTAAAAAGAAGGTGTAAAAAGTACACGCTTCCATGGGTTTCCAGGCAAGTATTGGATTTCAAGTAGAAATCTAAACTTTCACTTTTTTTTTAATTCACCTGCATTTCAGTGAAGGGAAACTATCTTGTGATGTTGTCTCCACTATGTATGTTAAAAATGGCAGGAACCCTTAACCTATATTCAGCCTAGGTTGGCTTGGAACTCCAATTTCTACCAGCCCATCTGTGTGACCCAGAGACAAAGTTGGGGGGTATTCCCAGCTGGCTATGCCATAGAGCTCTGGGAGGAGGATTTACTGGCCTTTTCACCTGTTTCACATGTTGTGGACCATCATCCAAATTTGGTGGAGATATCAGGAAGGCAGTAGTACCTTTCAAAATCCCTGAGTAAATCTGTCCCTGGATTAAACTTTTCATTATCATGTCTTCACAAATGTCAGACATTCTATATTGTAAACAGTGCTTCCAAGTTGTTTTCAGCCATCTGGGTACAGGTTTTGTCCACCAAGTGGCATATGTGTCCTTCAATGCATCTGAGACCTGGATACATAAGTTCTTTATTGGGTGGCTGATAAGATGGATGTTTGCACACGAGTTTATATGACCATATCACTAGTAAAAATCACTTTCTCTTTATAGAGATTACAAGGCTTATTATCCTTCTCTCAGGGCATGCATACAGTTTCCATCAACTTCACTGTTAATGAGAGCACTGCATAGACAGATCGCGAGGAGAATCAGAAAACCTCTTACATTTTCACTCAGGCTGTGTTTATGATGTTAGTAAATTCTGCAGCTGGAGTTGAAGACAAGACAGATTAGCCATTTAAAACCAATTTTCCAACCCCATTTGTATTTAAATAATCTTGTTACAAAAGGACTGTGTGGTTCAGAGCAAACTAGGCTTATAATTATATTTTCAATATGGATAAATCAGCTGTGTGTGGACACACTAGCTATTGATTGGAAGACATAAAACATAAATCTTATGGCTTGTAACAAGAAAATGATTTTCTAGTGTTTTTAAGTGTTGAATAATTCAGAATTTACTTTACCTGCATACGCAGCACAGCTTGAGTCAGTCAAAATTGTGTATATTAGCGGGACAAAAGTGTGGGCTGTGATACAATGCTATTTCATTTTAGATAGCAATTTTTATGCCATCTATAGGGAGAAATACTTTACAAAGCTGAGAAACACAATTATGCAGGAAGACACAAAAGAAAGGGGAGGAAGGATGCATAGAATTATGTAGCAAAAGGAGAAAAGGGAAGTTCTTCAAAGTTTTTTAAAAGTTAAGGAATTGGAGATGAAGGGAGACTGCACTGACAGTGGTAGAGCACATTCTTGTATTAGAACCACAAAAACGTGTGAAAAGGCAAAAAAGTGGAAAATGGTATAGATAACAAGGAGATAGTTCATACGCTGTGCAAATGCTTGCACACATGAAGCACAAGTTAGGAGCTCATTGTTTGTTGGTAAAGCTCTTCCACTGTTTACTGCATATGGAAGGGTGAAGATGACTTCAGGTAGAAGGGGAACAGCAAGTCCTAAACCCAAATCTGGATGACAAGATAGGAAGTGTTGGACAATGACACTTGGGTCACAAATGGTACAGAGTAGAGCTTCCCCCAGGGAGAAGTGTCACAAAATCAGTCCCACCTCCTGCAGGTGCAACGT